CAATTTCTATATCATTAATTTCCTTGGGAAGAACTCTTGAGTAAATTGGGGTGTCATAAATTTTTTCATTGTACTCACCAGGGGTAGCACCTGAAATTGACACCACACGCAGCAACGCACTGAGGGAATCGCCAATAATCATCTTTTCAGTGAGTCCTTTTACATACACTCCGAAGCTTGAAAAACCTCCTCTTAGGTCACTTCCATACTTTGCAACGTCTTTATTTTTAATTATTTGTGGATTTTCAAATCCTAGAACATAACATAATTGTGTTGATAAAGATATGTAATCAATATTTGAATGATTAATTTTTAGAAAGAATCTCCCAAAATCATTGTTGTAATCAAATGTAATAGAGTTGATCATATTTTTCAAAAGAGTTAGGTTACCACTTAAACGAATACCTTCCCTCCACAAAGAAAATTTATTAAAATCAACATTATCATTATTCTCTTCCTTATCTTCTTCGATAGTAATCTCATTGTCATTATCCTTTACTACTATTGTATTATTTTCAGTATTTGTTAACCCTGGAACAAATAGAGGAGTTCTATTCTCTTTTTCATTTATTTCTATCGGAGCAGCAGATGATTGGTTAATGTTATCCTGTATCTGCTCTGCAACTCCTGATTTCTTTTGTCTATCATTCAATGGTTCATTCTCTGGTATCTTTTTCTCAGCTGTCTTAACTTTTTCTCTAGCATGCTCTTTTTCCTTTACATTCGTAACATTATTTTTCTCTATACTTGACGGTTTATTAGATTTTGGTGCTGATATTTTTGGAGGCGTTATCGGTACTGTATTTTGTTTTGGTTGAGACTCAGGTAAATCATCAATCCTTGGAGGAGTTTGGAGATCACGCACCCTTTTTCTATCTATTCTTGGAGGTGATATTGGTGGTGATGCTTTAGGAGGTGATTGTAAATTATTTATATTAGGAGTCGATTCGGTATCTCGCTTCCTTCTATCTAGTCTTGGAGGTGAGACAACAGATTTGTTCTTTGAACTATTAGGATCAAAGACCAAATCAATTGCCTTAGCCTGATGTTCAAGTGTTGCATTCAAGAAATCACGTAATTTTTCAACTTTAGTGTGTGAAGCTTTAGGTATGGGTATTCTTAAGACACTTTTCTGCCCAAGATCATCAGTGAAATGTATTTTTAACCATTGTTCGTCTAATGTTGATGGCCATGAATAAGGATAGGTTATACTATGTAATCCACATACCCAATTTCCATTAAAGTGAATAGGCTTTGGTAATTGAACACGAAACTTATTTGGTTTATTTATGGAATAATTAGGGACATTACTAGGTAAATGAATAAAAAATGTATTTGACATTTTTATTTAAAATTAAAAATTTTTTACAAAAGATTAAAATGAATGATTTTTATACTAATTGTGATTCATGAATCCATTGTGTTTCAGGATATCCAATGAATTTTACTAAAAGTTTAGTAGTTCCATCATCACTCTTTCTCTTACGTAATATCTTCTCAATACGGTATTCAGTATTGTCATCCCTCCTTACTTTTGCCAGCTCCTCTTTATAGAAAGACCCTTTGAATTTGTCCCCTTTATCATCTTTGATTTTGTATGTAATAGGGTATAGAGTTGTCTTTACGTCATCAACTTGTAATATTTCATCTCCCCAGTTTGGTAAATAACCTTTCTCGAAATTACCTTTCTCTCTACTTAGTCGAATATAATCACCTTTGTTAAATTTTGACTTAACATTTTTGATCTTTGAAAAAATATTTCCATAAATCTTTTTCCATACAGTTTGAGCATTTTTAAAATTTACATCAATTGGACACAATCCATGAACTCTAGATATAGAATGATTTATTCCGTCTACAATTTTTTCGAGAACATCTATCCATTTCAAAGTCTTTTTCTGTGCGAAATATCTATATAATCGTTGTTTAATATTTCTAATTGATCTCTCTGCTATAGAAGCTTTTACTGTAGAATGATTTGCTTCAAGTTTTTGTATATCCTCCTTCGCAAAAAATTCTTTTAATTGTTTATTTTTAAATTCTGTACCCTTATCAGAAAAAATTCTATGTGGTTTCATAGGCATTTTATTTATCAAATTCTGGAATGCTTTTACCATTTCTTCTCCTTTCTTAGTTTTAAGAGGTTTTGTAAATAGACGTTTTGATAATACATCGATTCCCACTAGAATATATCGATTTCCTCTATTGTGTCTCGAAAGCGCTTGCATATCGGCCAAATCAAATTGAAGATCTGTCATGAAACCAGCTGCAATTGTTTTACTTCTAGGGAAACGTATCCTTTTTGGTCGCATGAGTGTATACGTACGGTGCCCTTCTAAATAATCTTCAATCACATGTCTTGGAATATTTTTATAAGTTTTCTTTGCTTCTCTCCATAAACTATCAACTCCTGCATATGCTGAAGGATTTTCTGGATCATTATAAAGTTTTTCAAGTAATTTTTTAGGATCCGCCATTAGTAATATTACCAGAGTCCTGGTTTAAATCTATTGATATCTGACTGTGTTGGTTTTCTCTGTGCCCAGATCTTTCGTTGAATATTAATTTTTGATAGTCTCTTTTGTGCCCAATTATTAATAATTTTAAGTTTTCGCTTTTTTAATGGAACTGACGGGTATCCTTCTTCGGTATACTGTAATTTTCTTTTTTCAATTCTTCTTTTTTTCCTTTGGTATTTCTTCAGTATTTTCTCTTTTAATTATTTGACTTTTTACTTTATTCCTTGTTTCTTCAGTTTGTGAAACAAGTGGAGCGTTTATTGCTTCGGTGACTTGTTCACTTTTTATTGATCTATTAACGAGATCGCTAGGCATGTACGGTACTCTTAATTTTTTAATGTCTTCCCTTCTTATTATGTGTTGTCTTTTCTTTTCTTTCCTCTCTCTAATACTTTCTAAGTATTTATTATCTTCTCTCTCTTCCTTTAGTTTATTTTTTAATTTTCTAGTATTCCTTTTCTCAATCTCTTCCTTATTTTCATCATCATTTTCCTCACCTGCAGGTTTTATTAATTTTTTATTTTCCGGGACATCATCATCATCTCTTCGTCTTTTGGGATTTCGATTGAAGATTAAAGGTGTCTTTTCTTTCTTGACCTTATTACGAGGTGGAACAGGTGGTGGTTGTGGGGAAGGGGGTTAATTTTAATATTTCGTCCATAAGATGGGATAGGAGGTGGTGGTGACGGTGACGAAATTACTGATGAATATTTAGGTTGTTGGTTTGTAAACGAAAAATCATCACCCATCCAAAAGTCATTATCATCATCGTTTCCAAAATCATCATCTCCCGTAGATATATATGTTTCTGGTCGAGAATTAGTTTTGGGTAAAAGCACACCTTTAGGTTTGTCAACTACTTCAACTCTAATTGGTTTATTTTCTCTTTCATTTCGCATATTGAGGTATCTCCTCAATTCTTGATTATAATTAACATTTTTGACATCTTTACTTTCCCTACGTCTACTAGTATTGTCTAATGCAAGTTTAATTGAATCTAGATTTGGTTCGCCTGTTGACGTAATTGTTGAAGTAAGACCTCTATATAAATCCTCTGGAACAAGGATAAGTTTATTGGCCATAAATATTTTATTATATTTCACTTAGTAAATATCGCCCTGTCTCTATAATTATAGGTGTCAATAGAGCTGCGAATAATGAGCCCACTCCACTGCCTTTTTGTATTAAAATTTTACGAGCACCTCGTTCACTTCTTGTTCGACTTAATTTACGAACAAAATCTGCGTGAGGTATTAAACGTTTCTTCTGGCGAGTTGTTAGATTGAAACGTGATTTTACTATATTAATACAAATTTCCGCTATAGAAAGTAATTGTTCTCTTGTCGCCTTTTTTAACAATTTTTTCTTTTTTCTTTTGGAACTAGTAAAAGCTAAAGTTTTTAAAAATTTTATGTTTTCTTTAACAAGTTGACTAATTTTTGAATTATTATGCTCCATTTTTTGGAATGAAAATTAGTTTTTCATTGTCTTCTGTAAATATGTTTGACCTCAATCTTAATATTGGATCTGAGGAGGCATGCATATCGATTAGTAAATATCCATAAGGCTCATTGGTTGCCTGTTTATATGCGTCCAAGAAAAAATCCAATTTTCGTGGGAAGAGTTGCGTTCCTATGTTTCTGACACTTAAAGCTGAATTTGGTGATCTCATAAGTATAAGATATTGTGCATTTTGTCTGGCTACTTTTACCTTCTTTTCGAATAAATTTTGTGTAACGAAAATAATAGCAAAATTTTGATGATGTGATTTTTTAGTGAATAACTCGGAGAGGTATTTCTCATCAATTGAAAGTAATAGATCATCTAAAATCAATAATAATGGCTTAGGATAACGCTTTATCATTTCCTCATTTGGAACTCCGCCATATACATTAACACCTGATCGTTGAAGCACTGGAACAATTGAACTCATTTCTCCATAACAATAGAGTATACTAACAGGTTTAGGGTCTATTAAATCAAAGGCCTGAGAAATTAACTTGATAAATAATGTGCTTTTACCAGAAGAACTAGGTCCAGATATAATCATTCCAAAAGGTAATTTAAATTTTAAATTTTTATTCAAAATTGTATTATTATTTAACATTTCTATTTTTTAAACTACTTAAATATTAAACTGAATTCGGATTTACAATATCTGTGAATTTTTGAGTATTAGGATCATCCGTATCATTATAAAATGGTTCATTAATCTTTTCTTCATTACTAACACTTCGCTTTACAGCTTTCTTTTCATCAGCAATCGATTTGAAAAAATCATCCAAGTCTTCCTCTGCTGTTTTAATCTTTTCAGTTTTTTCTTCATTTGCTTTTACTATCTCGTTATTATCTTCTACATCCATGGTAGTTTTTGATTCATGCTCTATTTTTAATCCAGAATCTTTCTCTTGTTCGGTCTTGTCTTGATAACTAGACAAAAGTTTAATAATAGATTTCTTATGTTCAACACAGTCTCGATCATTAAATGGAATATTGAGCACACGACCTTTGTTTTTGATCTAAATATTAAATAAATTTAATAATTAAATTTAACAAACCCTAAAGAAACAATGGCCAGGCATATCATAAATTGAATCAAAGGGGACGAATCGGTGTCCTTTGATCCGATTACAGTATACTGTCACTCCTTCCTTTGTTACAACAAAATCAATTTCCACTTCAATAGATTTGCACTCTCTACAACGTCCACATTGATCGAATGGAAGAAAACGTGGAGTGCTTAGGCGAGATTTTGCTTGAAGTGTGATTCCGTTTGTATTGACATTAAATTCAATCTCCGGGATTATTATTTCGGCAATATATCGTTTATCACTCATATTAATAGCCATTTTGTATACGTTTATAGATCGATAAATTATTTATGAATGATTACTCAAATTTCGCGGATTTCATTTACGAGAGATAATTAAATTAAAGCCCCGCCCACTTAAAAAAAATTAGTTAAAAGCAGAAGGTGAAGCGAGAACTGACCACTTAAACACTACGAGATTTTTTCAACCACAGCCATTGTTTAATTGTGCTCACAGTGCGACAGGCAGTCTATGTGGGCAGTCCCCACCTCCCCTTCGACAGTGCCAATATCCCATCTATCTTTTATTTTTACCGCGGTGAAATTTTTATTATATTTTATATAAATTTTAATTATATTTTTTCAAATTAATTTGACTAATTAATTTAATTACTTTTTAATTACCACTCAGACACTTCATATGGGATGAGTAATTTATGGATTATTACGCAATTATTATGTAATAACTGGATTATTATTAGAACGGTACATTAGGATCTGAATCTTCTTCTTAACCACCTGGCAAAATAATTTAATTAATTACGATAATTATTACGTAATCATTATATAATGATGGGCCTTTTATTAGAGAGTGTCATTAGGCAAGGGGTTATTGTTCATTAAACAAGGGGATAATTATTCTCTGACCCTCCCCTCTCCTTCAAATAACATAATTAATTACAATATTAATTGATTATTAATTACGGGCTTTTAAGAGACAGGGCCATTAGGTACTTAAAAATTGATCACTAATTGACCACAGACCCCTCACATTCAACCACTTAATTAATTAATAAATACTTTTTAATTGCTAATTAGGGGCTTCTATTGGAGAGGGTTTACCTCATACCCTTTCAAGTGGCCGCCGACCCCTTTCATAGGTTTAGACTCCAGTCAAACCATTCCTTAGGCACTGGTTAATTGACAGCGGACCCCTCCCCACCCCCACTCTTCAATAGGTTTGTCCACTCAAACCCTTATTTAACCTTAGGCTAATTACCCGCGGACCCCGCATCACCCCCACTCACTCATTGATCAACCAACCCCTCCTTTAGGCACAGGCTATTCTCTCTCGGACCCCTCCTCCCACGACCAATTCAAAACCTTTGAGTTAAATGCGGGAAATTTTACCGCACTCCCACGACGGTGCCTGTGTTTCTACTACTACCACCATACATCCTTTATACCATTAACCCTCAGGTCTCATCTTCAAATGACCACCACACCAATCCGATTCTTTTTGGAAAATGCGCGAAAAATACCCTTTGACCGCTATCCATCCTGGATAATAATAATTACCGCTAAAACCCCTTCCTTACCCTTAGGATTATCCAATAAATGACCACTAAACCCGTCCAATACCTTTACAAAAGTGCGCGAAAAAATGGCGTTTGACGACGGTCCCCTAGGACTCACTACTACCGTACGAGTACAAATATTTGTACTTTTAATGAAAAACAAAAATTTAATAAAATTAATTGCTTTGTTATTTTTTTATGGAAAAAGCTAGTTTAAAAATAAAGTTAAAATTTGAAAGTTGTTGATAGGCACATTCAAAAAAAAATATTTTCTTTTTCAATTATCGGGTCGTCTGTGTAGAGCGACGATAATTTTGTCATTCTGAAAGTAACTCCGATTAACTATTGTTTAACTTTCTCTAGCGTTTTACACACACCAATTTCTATTCTTTCCAGCTTTAAGAATTAAATAATTTTGTTGGCCGCCCACTCAAAAAGGCGTTTTAAGAAACAGCACAATAGTTTATCTTAATAAATTATATGTTTTAATATAAAAATATTATGTAAACATTGGTATAAACCATGGCAAATCTCAACACTTAACACAAATACACTTAGTTATATGTATAACAATTTTTATTTTGTTTATTATTTGTTATTATTCTTATTTAATAACTGGATTAAAATTTCTAGATTTTAAAAAATAAATATTTAATATTTTCATTGATTTTAAAATGTATCTTCAACGATTATTAATTTATTATCTTCAGAATTATCTTCAAATTATCTTCAACGATTAAGTAATTTTTATTAATTTAAATCGCAACAATTATCGAATTCATTATGAAGAATATAATTTAAATAGCAAATGAATAAATAATAATCCTTCTTTCATAAGGATCGTTGAAGTAATAAATATTTATACTCCCACAATTTAGTTCTTAGCATTATTCCTTCACACATACTATTTTTTAAGATCCAATTTTCTAAAACGTAATGATTATGAGTAGAGTTCTCTCTCAAGCGAAGTTTTAATTAATAATAATTATTTAGCCTATTAACCGATATTTATATTATATATTTTAAATAATAAAGTAATTTGTAAAAATTTTAAATATTTTGAAGATTTATATGCCAGCTTCTTAAATTAAAATATTTATACAATAAAAGATTAAATTATTTTTAGAACATGTCGCAGTGTAGACTTCCTTGAAGCAGACAAATTTAATTGATGCTTAGTTGTGTCGTCAAGTTTTTAGTTGAAAATTTCTAAATATGAGAATTTTTTAAATATATAAAAATTTTATTGTGTTTTAAAAAAGTTTTGCTGCAGCAGTGCCAAAGAATAATTAAAAAATAAAAAAATTAAATATAATAAGTTCTAGTCAATGTTTAATGTTGAGTTCTTTCTTACGTTTCCATATACCTGATTTCCAATTTCGAACTTTTCAGAATTTTAGAGATGATAATTCTACAGATTAAAATGCCATTGTATTAAAAATTTAACCAAAATAAATTTAAAAAGTTAATCAAGTGTAAAAATTAAATTAATTAAACAAATCAAATTTTAAACAGATACAAATTAAAGTTGTGAATCTAGAAATTTTTAATCATAAAGTTTGCGAGCCTTAAATGATATGAAATTGGAAAATTTATTGAAATTTAAATAATTTTAATAATTTATTTATTTCATATTCAGTAAATTTACTTCTCAAAGATCTCTAAATTTTATCTAAATTTCTTTGATATATTTTATTTAAAATATGTATTTATCGTTAATAATAGAACATTTATTAGGGAATTGTTAGAACATCTATAATCATAAAATTTAGAGCAAATTTTATCCTTTTTTTGTAGATTATTTTCATACATATTCAATTTATCATTATTTACATTCGGATTCATTTATTCATATTTAACAAGAGTGCAAACTAATTATCATCAATTCAAAACCTTAAGCACATTCCTTTGAATGTGCTAATAATAAAATTTATAGCAAATTTTGTCCTTTTTTTTGTAGTTTAATCAAGTGTAAAAACCTTAAGCACATTTTTTGAATGTGCTTAAGATTAGAATGTGCTTACATTCCAGCTCTCGTTTGATTAACTAAAGTGCTTTCTTCAAATCAAGTTAGTACTATTTTCCTTTCATTTTCTTCCAGTCCTTGTTAAAGCAAGATATTTGCTGTGTAGTAGAATTAGTGTTGTTCTCCGTTATAAGCTCAGATTCTAATAAAATATTAATATACAGCAGCAGAGATTATCTATATATCTTAAATCAAGTAATATTAAATCAAGTAAAACTTCCAAAGCATTACCATTTTTAATAATATTTTTCAAAATTTTAAAATTTTATACAATAGGTATTAAAGCAGAATATTAAATACTAATTTAAAACAACAGCTTTTAATAAAATTGTTGATAAACTTAAAATTGATGATAAAATTTGTAAGAAAATTAGTTTTAAAAATTAAAGAATGCAACTGACAAACTAGTAGTAAAGAAAATAGTAACAAAAATTAATGGGGCAAATGTTGAACCATTTTTTATGCCTTTTCATACTTTTATGCAACTACAAATTTTTTTGCATTTAAGAACACTCTGCACGTGATATTGTTAAACTGAAATTAATATATTATTATTGTTGGTAAAGAAATGAAAAGTACATATAAAATGAATGTTTTGTGTAAAAATTATTTTTTTTCTTGTATCTTTTAAAAAGTTTTATTTTTATAAAATTTTTTTTTGTATTTTCGGATGCTTCTACTCTTATTATCAATAATTCGTCAGAAGATCTTTTGTTGTAATGTGAGCATTACATTTTGATATGATTTTCAAATTAAAATGAAAATTTTTTAGTGTTTATTTATTGTAAATTCATTGGTAAATAATAAAGTTAATATAAAATGTTGAAACGAATGATAGAAATTAAAAATTTTTTTTAATTTTTTCATAAATATACAAGTTTTATCAGGAATGCAATGTTGTTTTTATTTAATAAGTAATAAAACAATTACTGGTTTAAGGAAAGCTAGGTTTTACGAATAAATAATAAAAATAATAAACAAACGAATAAATATTCAGTTGTTTTTTATAAGAAAATATTTAGGACAATTATGTAAATTAAATTTAAATACCGTATTTCCTATAATAGAGCCCCATGGGGCTCTATTTTTCAACTATCCGCCAAGGTGGGGCTGTATTAGAGGATGGGGCTCTAATTGAGGGTGGGGCTCTATTTTTCAACCCTCTGAGATAAAATCCCATTTGTAAACTATCTATTGCAACTAGAGATAGGCCGGAGGGTTCGGTCGATAAAACCGCAAACTATCGAAAGAAAATCGATATTTTTCGATTTTTCAAGAAAAATTAAAACTTTTTAAGCAATGAATAACAAAATAGCCAAATAGTTCAATGAGAGCAAGATTAATTATTAAATATTGGCAGATATAGACGGATTAAAGAAAATATTAGGGGAATAGTATTTGACATCGATGGCTAGATGTATAAGTATAAGTGAATTATAAAGGATTATGGAGAATATCAGAGGGTTAATTTTATATTGAGAGATTTAGCGCGATTAAGAGGGATATTCTGAACAAGGGGTATTAGGAGGCATATGAAGGGATTTTGTTTGAAATTCAAAAAGCATTTCCAGCTTTTTGAAACTTCTCCATCACTGAATATAAGCGAGATGTCTAATAGATCTCTAATAATCTCGCAAATTATCGTCAAATGCCTAACACGACTTCATACACTGATTATATTTTGGAGGTAATAGGATGGATTTGGATGAATATGGGTGATATTAGACGGATATCGGGGTTAT